GAACAACACTACTACTACTAGTACTAAATCCTCAACTGTGTACACCCAAGAACAGTCCCCCTGCACCTCGTCATCGGTGCCACCTGTCGCCACGCCGACCGTTCGCTCCCGAGCGCCAACACATCCACATCCGACGTCGACTTTATATCCCAATTCAGCCTATCGGGCCCAATAACCCCTCCTATCACATAAATATCATCCCCAAGCCCAACCATTCCAAACCCAATCCTCCTCCTAAACTCCGAAGCCGAAACCACAACCTTACTCGAGTTCCTCTCCTGCCTATATATCTGCCCATGGTGACCCATCACATACAATTTCCCCCTCACAACCGCCATCGGCCCCTGCAGCCAGCTGTAATCGCGCACAGTCCAAACCCAACAACTACTCATCACATTCTTCTCCAAAACCTGCACACTCGAAAACCCCTTATGCAAAACATGAACCCTCCCCTCGATCACAAATCCCGTGCACGCCGAGTTATGCGTGTGCTGCAAATCGGGCATCGTTTCCCACACGTCTCGTTCGGGATCGTAAACCTCGGCCTTCGAAATCGATTTCCGGCAATCGGTAAACCCACCGGCAACAATAATCTTCCCGTCGAGAACACAGCACGCGAACATGGCCCGCGGGACGATCATGGGCCGACAGCTGGCCCAACGCCGGCCCACCGGGTCGTAAGACCAAACCTCGTCTGTCGCGAAGCATCCGTCTTGATCGCCGGTCAACGGGTCAACCGCGTCGCTGCCTCCGCCGAGGACGAAGAGTTTGCCGGAAACCGAGACGGCGCCGAAATGCGCCAGGTGGCGGATGTTCGAAGGGAGAACGGGGAGAGTGAGCCAGAGGTCGTGTATGGGGGAATAGAGCTGCCAGAGATTGTCTGGGTCGTATGCGCAGACGGATATGAATTCTTCGGTGGAGCCGAGTTCTTGGCGGGCCCGGAAAAGCTCGGTGCTGTTGAAAGCCTCACGCCAGGAACGGGAGACGAGGGAGAGTTTGGGGTGGAGGTGGAACGGGACTCGAGCGAGGCATCTTAAGGCGACAGCATCTGGAAGGCCATCGATGAGTCCGGACATTTTTCAGGGGCGATTTGGTCTTTTGTTCAGTTTCGGAGATTGGGTTCGAGATGGAGGAGCATCTGAAAGATTCGGTGAAGGGATGAGTTTTCATTATATAGAAGAAAAATATAAGAGGGGGCGTGAATCACGAGAAATGAATAGTTTTGTGATGTGAGCAAAAATGTGTGTTTATCGGTCGGTCACCTAAAATGAACGTAAATTTTGTTTGTACTGATTTCAATGAGAATAAAATCGGCACCAGCTGGTTTCTGGTAAAGATGCCGAATATCTCCACCAGATTTGGTGTGGTGGAACGGAAACGTTATGGGCTTCGTGTGTGTGTACAATTTAACAATTAATGCACAATAAATGACAAGTCCGGGGTTATTTATGAGAAGAAATAGCGGATGATATTCAAACAAAGATCATATAGACTATAGAGGACCTCCTTCAGGTCACACCAGTTCGACTCGTGGGGAAAAGTTACACAGCAGTAAAATTTCATCCCTTTCCTATCATGGAGAGTCCACTGTTGATTATTAAAAAAAGTTTTACAAGGCAAGTGGCAAAATAGGGGCAGTTACAAGAGAGAGAGA